TAATCTATAACAAATTTATAAATGAAAAATCACTATTTAATGTGTAAGTACTATATATATATTAAATTCTAATAATAATTGTAATAATAATAATTGTTGTATTACATCTATTATTAGTCTAGAAATGTCAAATATCATCGAATGTTCTGATAATTCACCTTTAAAGAAAATATTTAAAGCCGATGAATGGAAAGAAATTAATGAAAAACATTCATTTCATATTGATGTAGACATTACTGTCTCTCTTTATTTGAATCATTTAGCTGATTTTCTATGTGATGATAACAATATCATTAACGATGATCATGAAATGCTTCGTCCACCTGATGATAGTTTACGACATATCGAGTTAAAATTTTATTACGAAGCTTTAGTAAAATTGTAAGTATGTCTTATATAAAAAATATTTTTAAACATTATATAAACATAATATTTGCTGTATATTTATAGAAGAATTTTGTGGAGAACTTTAGTTTTACTGCCCAACAGTAATATTAGTGAAGGCCAATATATAGCAGATTATTTACATGATATACTTAAATTAAATTTTAAACTAAATAAATATAATCTTTTTTCTTTTCCGTATGTAAGATTTATTTTATTTCTATTTTTTTAATGAATCATAATTTATTTATTATGTTTTTATTTTCAGTATCGATATTACATCAAAAGTATCAAAAGAACATAAAATTAATGCTAAAAAGAAAAAACTGTACGATGAAAAAAAATTAGTCTCTAAATCTAATAGAGGTCATCATGTTGATTTGATAATTAGGAATATATTAAATATAGATCTAATGGTGATAGAAGTTGTAGGCCCTCCGCATCGTAGAAATTATAAGAAAAATCTGTAGGATTTCAGAAGAGGCATTAGAGCTTGTAAAGATTCTTATGAAAAATTTGTTAATAATTTGGTCGAAAAGTATGGCAAATGGATAGATAAAAGTGTTATTTATAACATTTATAATCAATTAAAAATTTATTATGCTCATGTACATGGTTAGTGCAATTGAAGTTTTATTATTATCTTTTTAAATTACAATTAATAATCTTAGTTTATACTTCGAACAGGAGTGAAATGGTATATTTGGACAGTTGACCACCCTGGTAATCAAGTGTATAGGGCAAGACCTTTATGTGAATTTAATATTCCTTATAAAAAGAAAGATGTCGAAGATATTTACCAATATTTAAGAGTTCTAAATGAATTATGTGTAATTATTATTGTTGATTTGTTATTACTAAAAATTATTATATTGATTATTATATTATATTAATAATTCGAGTTATCATTTGCTATTTGAAAATAGAGGCGTGTCAATAGTATCTCTAAATTTGTTGAAGAATTATATGAATACTTAAAACAACAGGCGAAAAACAATCCAGATATAATACAAGATACAGAATTTGCCAGAATATTGTTAGATGGATGCGCAATTACAAATCCTACGCCCTCAAATAGCCCGAGAGATCCCCCGTACGATTCAAGTAGCACTTCATCAGAACATATAGAAGATATTTTATCTTTATTCATAGAAGAAAATGTTGAGGAGCTGCCAGATTCAGAGAATAATTGGGATACACATGAAAATTCTGACTACAAATTAGAGTAATTGTCTTAGTATCAGATACGATAGCACATATTGCAATAGATTAATTCATTCATGAAAATGTAATAGTACTTGCAAAAGCATTTACATTTACTCACAAACGAATTAATTCATGAGATGTAATTGACTTGGTATCTGATACAAATAATGTTTAATTCGTTCATGAGGGTTTCGATCAATTCACCGACAATCATTTCACCGAACGCTCATTTAGCCGACATCACATAGGGTTAGGGTTAAGCATTTGATTAGTTGCAGGTATATATTTTTACTAAATTTCACTGGCGTGATGTCGGCTAAATGATCTGTCGGTGAAGTGATTGTCAGTGAAATAATACGGACCCATTCATGAAAATGTAATCGGACTTATAAAAGCATTTACATTTACTTGCAAATGAATTAATTCGTTCATGTTAATGTAAATAGCATTTATATTTAGTTGTAATGAATTTAATAAATTATTGGTATGAAATACCTATATTATCAGTTTTATTGATCTTTGTTCAGATTCAAATTATTAAAGATATGTGATAGTAGTTTTAATCTATATAATTTCACAATTTAAAGTTAAAATGAGATAAAAAATTTAAAAGTAAATTTTATTCAAGTGAAGTAGAAAACAAATTTAAGAAAATAGTGACTTCTTTTCTTTTATAAAAAAAAGTTAGTACATCTTAAACTCGGTTCGTTCTCCGACGGCATAAAGATGCCGTCGGAAAATGAAATGAATAATACAGTTCATTCTCCGATAGCCTTGATGCCGTCGAAATAACATTAATTCTACCAAAATTATGTTTACCAGAGTTACGAAGTAATTCTACCAACATTATAATTACCAAAGTTGCGAATTAATTCTACCAAAATTATGATTACCAGAGTTATGAATTAATTCTACCAAATCATGCTACCTAGGGTTGTCAAATTACGTAATTTTGTGAAATTTTGCGTAATATAGTTTTCATGTAATTTGTAAGAAACATGATCATATGGGCTGCCGTCAAGCAAATCTACATTTGAAAAAAAATTAATACCTTAAATTTCACAGCTCATATCTCGATGAATTTTTAAAAGTATCTTGATGATTTAATATTCA